ATCTTTTACACCCTATTATTATACCCCCCACCCTTTCCCCAATTTCACCCTTTCCATTCTGTCCTGTGCTCTATTTTGCCAAATATTGAAGGTATTCTGAAGACATAAATCACCTCACTAGCCTTGTTAAATTTCGGAGAGCTACATCAATGACCTGCATGTTTTCTAACTAAATAACATTAGTTAAGCTGTTTTTATTGTTTTTGTCATCAGGATTTCTTATTTACCATTAGATTTTGCAGTTCATCAGTTCACACTCAACATTTCTTTGGCTGCACTCTTTCAACCTCAATAGGACAGTGTCAACCTACATCTGAGAAATGGCTGTATAAAGAACCCCCACAGTCTTCTGTTAATTTCACTTCTCTTTCCCCGTCTTTCCCACACCATCCACTGCTTCCCCCAAAACTCTTGTTATTCCCCTCTCTCCCCACTCCTCTCCCTCCCCTCGCCGTGTCCCTGTCCCTGTCTCTGTGCTGCAGGCAGGCCCAGGCTGTGTCGTGATTCAGCAGAATGCAGGCTGAGCGTGGGTTACTGATCCCCCGTCTGTCTGCCCATCAGCCAGCTTCTCCATTAACTCCACAACTCCTGCTAGGCACGCTTGCCACACATAAATTAAACTAAACCCACATGGACACTGATAAACACACACCTCAAACAAACATATATATTTTGAGGCAGTTGAGAAGGTTTATAAAATGTGCCAAGAAGCTGTATGTATCCCTGAGTATGATTTTTGGACCATTACATTAATGCAGCACTGTGCAGGTGTGTGAGCATTGTGCACATTTAAAATGTGTCAAATATTAGAAAACAGCGGCACAAACTGTCATTCATAGAGGAAGAAAAGTAAAAATTGACAGATGCCGTCAGTCAGCACAGGTCAGATTAACAAGATTAGCAAGTGAAGACTTGATTGGACTTACAGGCTGCTGTTCTGCTTCAGCCTTCTCTTGAAAAAAATAAAAAACAAAACATGCCAGTAGGAAACTAGGGTTTTTCTCTTTCTTTTTCCAAGAACCTGTCATTATGTGGATGGATGACATCATTGTGATATTCATCATCATCACTGGTGGGTGGAGGGGAGATTTTAAGCATCATTTGCAGTGAGCCAGTGACCTTGATTCACCGCCCACTTAGCTTTAGCTTAGTAGCTTAGTGATCACCTCAGTGCAGAGATGGAGGGGTTTTAATGCAGAGTTTGAAACAAGTGCGTGACACAGCAGTGGAAGTGGGCCAAATGTGACTTAGGATACATATAAGGCTAATGCATGTTTAAAGCCATAAATGAGGTGAAATATTTTAAAGTGCATTTGGGAACAAAAAGCTGCAGCATTTACTCTTTCATCCATACAGATGCCGTGGTCATATAAAATGAGGGTGTGATGAGGCCGAGGGGCAAGCGCAGAGGTTTGAGGCACTTGTGTGCTACTCCCCAAAATTTAGCAGTGAGTTGTATTTTTTTGCACAGATGAATGATGCATGAATGCTTCTGCATGGGTTTGGGTTGGGACCCAAAATGGTCGTTTTTGGTTGCTTGCCACCCAGAAAGTGTAATAGCATGTCTTCATGAGCTTAGGTGCCAGGCTGAGACTATAAATCTCATTTAGGTCACCAGCTATACATTTTTTAAATCCCCTGGTGTACATATACCCCAGACTGGTCACCTTACTTGGTATAAATGTAGGCTGTGTTGTCCTGTATGTCAGCACATTCAATGTGAAACTGGCCACTAACTGTGCTAAATAAGCATGTACCTGGTACAGATGTTTCCAGATTTGACACCTTTGTCCTGTGCTCTCATAAGTTTAGCTTTGCTTCATTTTACTTCATTTTAGCCACTCGCAGAGATATATTTCCAGGTGGGAGCCACAGGACTAATATTACACCTGTGACCATTAACATTGTTTGGAATAATTGCTGTCAGTGGTTGTTTTAATCCTGCCATGAGTGTAATTTGTGAAGTTCCAGTGTATTGTAAATTACTGACCATCCTGTGGTGAGCACAGTTCTCTGATCAAAGTAATCCTTGAGCCACAATAAGTGCAGCTGCACATTTTTGGTACACATTCTTGTTCTTGCTCATGCAATTGTGTTTGAGTTCACTCTTTGTGCTTATACTGTAATAGCTTGTGTTACAGTGCAACTGATTCTAGTTCAGAAAATAGTTGAGATCTGAAAAATTTTAATTTAAGCAATAGTAGAAATGTACAGGAAGGGAATGAAGAGAACCAAGTCTTTAATTAAGTGATAAAAAACATCAGACATTTAATTTACTAAAGGTTTAAAGGCACTCTGCAAAGCTTCTTTTCTCCTTGTAGCATTATGGAACACTGTTTTGGTGAGCAGTATCTCATGCCTGATGAACACATGTGCATGTGCAAGCATGCATGTGATACAATGCACATTTATGCCAAATGCAGAGGGCTAGTTGGATGCAAGGTGCATGTTATCCTTCAGCTTTACTCTGTTCCAACAAGGAAAGTTGTTGGTGGATACAATGCACTGTAAAAATGCACCAGCAAAAGAAAAAGATATGTAAACAATGCAGTTATTAATATATTCAAGCAGTCAGCTCTGCAAGTATTTTATGAAGAGGAAAAAGCACTCAACTTTCTTCTTGCTAGGCCTTAAGGATGTTGTTGAGAAACACTGAATGCAAACATAACTTACCATAGATGTATGAATACATATATATATATATTGAATGAAACTTGAGAATATATATAATAAAAGTCTGAATATATATATATATAATGAAAGTCTGAATATATTGATTGAAACTTGAATATATTGATTGAAACTTGAGAATATATATAATGAAAGTCTGAATATATATATATAAAATGAAACCTCACGTCATCAACGCGTGCGCCATCTTGTGTTTTAACTGGGTGTTTTTCGTTTGCTCAGTCTACTGTGAAGTTGACAATAAGCCAGTCAGCAAGAAATTTAGTGGCTGCCATCCTAAATAACGAACAAATAATTAACACACTGGCGAATGCGTGCAGCACCCAAGATAATACCATAAACCCCACCCAATATCGTACCGCAGATGATGAAATTTATTCACTGTTTAATCGAGGACGGCCAAATGTAGCGAGTAGCCAGACTGTTGCTAGCCACCTAGCTTAATGCTAAAAGTTGTACTCTCACAGGTGTCTGAAAACTGCCTTAAAGCAT